TTGTTTCATAATTTTTAATATATTCTTTAACTAATTTAATTAAAGAAAAAAACAAAATACACCATTAATCCTACCTATAATCCCATCTTGTCCTTCGCTTCATCATTTCGACCTTCTTTTTCATCTTCTTAGTTATCGCCACCCATCAGATTCTCCCATTTTCTATCCCGTTGGTGGTTACGAAGCTCTTTATCATTATATCGAACTACTTATTTAAGGTTTGCATCAAATTACTTGTTCATTTTGTTCCCATGATTTCACGCTAATAAGTGCTAAATCATGAAGCCCTAGATAACTGTATCGAAGTCCTTGCTCATTTTGTCCCTCATTTTAATGAAGGTTTTAGGATGAAGGTATTCATCTAATTGCTTGTTACATTTCGGAAATAGTTTTATGTTTTAAGATGGAGGTTCACATCATGGAAATTTAACAATGGAGGTTTTAAGATGGAGGTTTGCATCAAGATTCTTGTTGAACTTTAGCATGAGAGGGGGTGGAAGGATAAATAAATGAACATTTTCTCATCTATGTAACTAAGTTGTAAAAAACAATTTGCTTTTTTTTTGCCATATACGGTAAACATAAGGGAAACTGCAAAAGAAAATAAAACTCACATGGTAAAGAAGGGATGCATCCTTAAGCTTAGCTTTGTTTTCTTCGGTGCTAGAACATACATCTTTATTTTAGTGAGTCTAATGTGAAGCTTTTTCTGATGATTGGGAGCTTGGGTGTTAATCAGAGCAACAAAAAGTATCTAAGTGCCAATTTGTACGATGGTGTAATTAAAATTTTTGTGATGCATTCTTGTTCAGTTTTTCTGTAATATTTTTTCCAATCAAATTACAAAAATGATAAATTGATAATATAATTGATTGCAAAAATTTTCTAAGCTTCATTCTTGTTCTGTAATTCTTTTTTCCCCTTCCCCTTTTCATTTTTTGATTCTTTGTATTCCAAATAAAATCCATAGTGTTTCAAATTTCCACTTTCTTTTTTCGGTTCTTTGCAAGATGTCGTTTTTAGTCAATTTCCATATGATGCTTGTTATGTTTTGTCAGTAATTTTTGGGCATGTTTGATATATAATGTTTGGGAGCTTCAAGCTTCTAACGTTTGACAAAAAACTCTGTTTCAAACACAAAGTATTGTTTGATACCATAGACTTTTAGTGTCTACTTTAAACAAAACGTTCTAAATCTAAAAGTTATCTCATGCAGCGTTTAACAAAATGCTACCAACAACAACTACCCGCTACCTTCTACCACCTACCAATTAGTTTTACCGAATACGCATTAATAGCAATGGAGTGAAGGTGGAGGTACAAGTTGACGGGTAGAAGGGATATGAAAGGGGTTGAGGGATGCCCTGTGATTTAACATTAATAGATAAAGATAAAAGTAAAAAATATTATAAAAAGGTAAAGTTGACATTTCACATCATTTTGTACCAACAATATAATATAAGATTTTGAAACCAGTGGTATATCATTTTTCATAGTTGTTTAAAACTCTAAAACCCTAAGGACTAATTTTGAAATTTTGTCTAACAATAACTAACAATAACTATAAGACGAATACCCAAATCTACGTATCTCCTAGTACATTCATGCACGTGATACAACCAATATCTACTATGCACTTGGAGAACCGCATATCGGCAAACGACGTTGTTGTAGGGAATCGTATATTTTTAGATTTGTCATTTTGTAGGGACTTGGGGAAATGATCAAGAGCACACGTCACACGTGGGTTGACATGCACTTTATCCCCAAAACTTAATGCATTGCCAGTGTACAGTACAACCTTACGATGCACACAAAAACCATTTGTCTTTTTTTATCACGTGAGAAAGTAGCCACGTCGGTAATCTCTTTCCTTGTTGTCATCAATGTACAAGCACGATATAGCGATACGTACAACACCCTTATAGCGTTTTCAGGTCAGACCATATGGGCTTCACGTGAAATCTGTATAAAAATTCCCAATTTACAACACCTACATCTCTTGCAAGTTGCGAATATCTTAAAAATTCGAGTCTACCTTCTTTTGTATTAAAATAAGGTACTTTAAAACAATTTTATTTTTAATCAAATTAAATTTTGCTCAGTTTGATACAGACTTCACATTTGTCTTTGGTAAACCGGAACCACTAGAGCTGGTTTATTTATATATAATGTAATTATAATATACAAATACTATATTACTTATGAAATGAATTGATTTAAAATATATCATTATAATATTATATTATATTGTGTTTCATGCCCTGGGAGTAGGGTTGTTCAAAACCGAATATTCGAAAATTCGGATATTCGAATTTCGGATATCCGAAATTTCGGATAGTGGATTTTGAGTATCCGAATCCGTATCCGAATTTTCGGATATCCGAAAATTCGGATACGGATTCGGATACCAAAATCGGATATATCCGATATTTTATGATTTTGATCATTACCGAATTTCTAAGTTAATCAAACAAGCTTTGTTAGCAATTAAGTAATAACTAATAATGCCATGTTAATAGTATATGAGATAAAGTCATAAAACTCAAAATCAAACAGTTAAACGCCATTAAGATATTAGACTAGCTTAAATAGTTAAATACATGGCATGAGAAATCGGGAATGACATTTATCTATTTAAAATAAAAACAACATAATCATTTATAATCACATGTACATAAATAAAAACTGTAACTAAAAATAAAATATATAAATAGCGTACATAATCTCTTGCAAAAGCATGAACCATATAAACAATTATAAACATAAACATATATAAAAGGTTAAATTTTCTATAAGTTTCATTTTATAAAATAAAGAGATCAACTAAAATAAATAAAATAAAAATTTATATTTTCGGATTTCGGATATCCGAACTATCCGAAAATTTAAAATATCACTATCCGTATCCGAATCCGAAATATCGGATATCCGAAAATCCGGATATCCGAAATTTCGGATAATTTCGGATCGGATTTTCGGATTCGGTTATTTTTGAACACCCCTACCTGGGAGATAGATACAACCAAGAGTTGTACCATGTGCGATGCTGCAAAAACCTTATGTACATGCACTGATGCACCAACAAAAGCAAAATATTTTGACAAAATTTCAAAGATGGTTCTTAAGTTTTTCCATTTGTACCTAAAATAGTTTTTATGAAATATTTTTTCGTATAAATGGTCCCTAAGGAGCAAATCTTACACACAAATGCTTCTTATTGTGGATGTCCGTTAGATGGGTCCGTTAACTTAAAAGAATTTTGGATAACGACCAATTCTATCATTTTGTCAAATTTGCCTAAAAACCTTTTGTCAAATTTTACATAATGACCATTTGTTAAATATTTCAATGTTAATCTCCCATTTCTTTCTTTTTATTTTTCAGCCCTATTTTTTTGTTTTTTTTTTAAATTCAATTTTCTTTTAAAAGTTTTCCTTAATTTTTTTACAACTTTGTTATTATTATATATTTTTTATAAGTTAGGATTTTAGAAATTAGTTTTATAACAACTTTTTACATGAAATCTTTTTATGAAATATATTTATGTTTACATAAAATAAAATATTTATATAAACAAAAAAATAAAATATATAAATTTTAATCACCATGCAAATATAGTCAAAGTCTAATGTTGGTTGAGTACGCCCTGCATACTCAACTTATGCCCAGCGTACACGAGTTGGTTCCATCTTTTCCATTAAGGACTTAATCCCTTAAGGACTTATCATCCAAACTCAGATCTAGCCTCAAAACATTGTCTTAAGTCATAAAGTTTCCACCTTTATGACTTTCCATGGCAAAGGAATGTCCAAAAGCTAAAACTCTAACATATTAATCCATTAAGACATCACAACTCTTGCATGGAAGGGATAGAAGGACCAAGATCACATTTTTATGGTTCCTAATAGCTCCATAATAGATAAAGTTTCCAAATTTATCCATTAGAATGGTCCCAACAAACAAGATCTAGTCTTTAAGTCTCAAAGGGACCAAAAATGCATATTTTTCAACTTAATCCATTAAGTCCACGTCTCAACCTTTAGATCTAAATCAATATGATGATTAGATGGATAAAGTTTCCAACTTTATCCATAACAAGGTCACAAACTTTCAACATCTAAACTTTATGCACTTAAGGTGAACAAAAAATTATAACACCCAAAACTAGCTAGATATAACAATTTCATCATCAAGATTCAAACTTTATACCTCCAGAAGAAAGATAAAGTTGAACAAGGTCTGGATCTACAAGCTCCAATGCAACCAATGCTTCTTCAATGAGTTCCTTCTTCTCCAAGGTGCACCAAGGACACTCCAAAAGCACTTAAAAACACTTTTTGTTTTGCTCACAAGGATCAAGAAAGGGTGTTGAAGAGGTGGAGGCTGAGAACGGAATGAGTTTGGAGAAGTTAAGGAGTTAAATAGGGCTCAAACTACGAACAAAATTTTGATTCCATGAAAATCTTTATCAATATAATAATAATAATAATAATAATAATTTTGCAGGTCACCTAAATTTTTTCAGGAGTTCTACGAAATTTTTTGATTCCGTGAAAATCTTTATCAATATAAAATCGCAAACCATGTAGATTTTAGTAGATGATGGCCCCAAAAATCAGGGCTTTATGATTCTTTTTTTGATTTGTGATTATTTGTGGAAAACTTATGGAAAAAATAATTATTGCTCTTGTCATGTTTTCATAAACCACAAATAAGATATTATACTTCTTTTTTTCGGTTGCGTACATTGTAAATGGGTTATATCATCATTATTGTAGTAATTACATCTAATTTTTCTTCCTTGTTTCATGTAGCATACAATGAGGACGTCTAACTCGTTTTTTTTTTATCTTCTTATCTTTGGGTCCATTTGACTCTTAATTCCATTTTTTTTCCTATTTATACTTGTTTGCTTTCAACACTTCTTTCATAGTTAACAAACCTTGCTAGAACAACCATTTAAAGATAAAAAAAAAATGGCATACAACAAAGCCTTCATGCTTTTCAGCTGCATCCTACTCTTGTTTTCGCTTGCGCTTACTTTTCCTAATGGAGAAAGTAAAGTCACATTTCCCACCAGTAAGTTCCATCATCGTTTCTTAATAACAAAGAATTTCAACTGCCTCTATTGATGCATATTTTGTTTTGGATGTTTATTAGGATCCACGGAGAAACCAATATCGGTGTGTAATAAGATCTACGGGACACAAGCCGGAGACACATGTCTCAGTATTCTAGAGGCCTTCCATCTCACAGCTTCTGCTTTCAATACCTTCAATCCGAATTTGAACTGTGAGAAGATATTTGTTGGAGAATGGTTATGCATTGATGATCTTGCAATTTAAAGATGGTTACGATTGATTAACTTCATATATTAATGATATGTTTAATAAAATAATGCTTGTTATTTTGCATTGTGATACAACCAAACTATGGATGGCGAGTCCCCTGTAGAAATAGATACGAGAGATAGAAGATACGAGATAGATAAACAACTGTTAATTGAGACAATTTTCTGCTATATTATCCAATGCAAATTACAAGGTATTTAAAGGAAAGATTGCAATTAACTAGGAATTGAAAACGTTGAAGGAAATAGCTAGCATGATATTTCTAAGAAAAGGGAAACATGGCAACATGCATAATGGAAAAGAAATCATGAGAATTAGTCTACTGTCCAATAGATCGTGTATCACTTCATGGGTTTGTATCAATACTCCCGCCCTAAAAAATAGCCTTGTCCTTAAGGCTGAGATCACATTGTGTGTTCAAGGTCCATGGAGGTTCGGTTTCAGATTGAAGAAGGAGGAATTTAGGTGGGTTGCACAGGTGACCCGGTTGGTATTTTGCTGGGCAATTGTAGCAAAGACCTTCAGACCGCCGTTTCTGCATCTTGGTGGGGCTTAAACGTTTAATTGGAAGTGTTGGGGGAGGCGGTGGAGGGGTGGGCAATAATGGTTGTTTTGTTGGGGAAGGCTCAAAGGAATCATCGGAAGATGGAAGTTGAGCACGAAGTTTATCTTCTATTAGCTTCGCGAGGCCGTAAGTTTGGTGGATAGTTTGGGGGCCATGAAAGGCAAGTTCAGCCTGAATATCGGGGCGAAGCCCGGAGAAGAAACAATCACGTAATGCTTGTGGAGATAAACCAACGACACAATTACTAATCTTCTCAAATTCCGTATGTGGTCATAAGGGTAATATAGTCATTTTTTCATCATTCACCATAGTCGGTCAGAAAAATAATCAAACAACATAAACTCAGTCAGATGTGGACTCAGTCAGAACTTCTAACTCAATCTGCTTCTAACCCAGTCAGCTCTAATTCAGTTAACAACTATCAAACGACCCCTTAGTCTACTATCCAATAGATCATGTATCACTTCATGGGTTTGTATCACATTGCATATGTTGTGATAAAAGCATTTAAACATAGGATTAACAAATAGAAACATATACAATTCGAAATCTAGGTATAAATTATAAAATTATAAAACAGAAAAACATAATTTCTTTAAATGCTACTATTTTATAAGTATTAATCTAATATATTAATTTATCAACTTAAATATTGTGTTAAATTTAAGACATAAACCAAATGTCAAATAAATTCGAAAAAGATTATCCAAAAACTATTTTCTAGTAAAAAAAAATTACATATAATGTAAATATAATGTAAATGTAAAACATGAATTAGAATCTCAAATTAACAAAAAATGGAAAAGTTAACAAAACTATTTTCATAATAACTATAGTTTTCTAAAAAGGTAGTTTTATTAATTAAAAATATTGTTAGTTATAAATAACATAAAATTAGAGAATATCTTTAAGTTCTCTTCAAAAAAAATTTAACTTATACTTAAAAAAAATCATAATGAAAACTAAAAAAATGGTCTCATAAATTATTTTCAAAATTAATTTAAAATATACAAAAAACATCATAAATGGTCCATGTGGTTTCCCCAGATCTAAAGTTTAGTCCCCGTGGTTTAAAAACATCATAGATGGTCCCTGTGATTTCAAAACTTTTGACGATTGGTCCTAATTGCTAACTTCGTTATGTTTTGTCTGTTAACTGAAGGACATTTTCGTCATTTCACTACCACATTGACCATTTACGATGTTTTATCTTATTTTTTTTTAAAAAGAAAAAATTATATATATATATATATATATATATATATATATATATATATATATATATATATATATATATATATATATAAGGTCCACAGCTAAAAGACTGGATTACCCCTGAGCCCACATCATAAGTCTGGCTTGCCCTCGCGGCCCACAACTTATGTCTCGCTTGCTCCCCAACCAGTTCAGTGCTCAGACTAAATACCATCAAGCCATCAGTACGAGTCTGACATACCGCCCAGTCATCAACTCGTATCTAGAATGCTCATGAGCCCTCAGTATGAGTCTGGCATGCCCTACCCGACCCTCAATTCATATCTGGAATGCTCCTGGGTTTGTTGGCTACCGCACGGAGCAGTATAGCCTCAACCCAACACAATATGTCGACATATACCAGATAATTAACATATACAGATAATCATGCAACAAAATCAAAGGTAGCCCTACAGATCTACCAGACTATCATATTAATAACTAGCATAAACATGCATATCTATCACATACTCGACATATCAGTAAATATCAACCAATGGGTTGACCTTGGTGCCTTCGACCCGTAAGTATAGTGAGGAAAACTCACCTCGTAAGTTGGAAAAAAGTTGATGAGATCTCGACTCCGAATCTCAGCTCCAACCGACACCTATTCCAACCAAATGACCCAAATCTCAATCAAAATCCCAAAATACCCAAAATACCCTTAAGGTTACACTTGGTCAAAGTCAATTGGTCAAACCCACTAAGTCAACTGAGTCAACCCAGCCGAGTCAACTCATAAATTTTTGTCGAAATGTCATAAATTATTAAATTTTCGTTATTAAAAAACTATTTTCGGTTTATAAAATTAGTTTATTTTAATTTGTTAATATCTGCAGCAGCATGCAGATGTAAAAAGACAAACATGCTTCTTATTACAGTCTGCAGCCGTTTGGTCCACCTCTTCTACTGCAGAGGGTTGTAGAGGTGGTCCGCAGACTTTATCAATTTTTGCTTAAAAAAAAAAACAAACAACACCTAAGTCCCAGATCCAAAGTGCTTCACTCTTCCAAGATGAGCGTGGCTTCTTTCCTTCTTTTTCTAAGCATACAAACACACACTTTTAGGTTAGAAATGGCTTCATAAGGTGAACTAGGGTTACAAACACAAATGAGAGGGTGGAGGCTGATAAGCTGAAGGGAAAGGAGGCCATAAGGATGCTTAAATACCAGCCAAACCCTAAAAATTAGGGTTTCCTCATTTAGCAAGTACGCCCAATGTACACTGATGTATGCCCAACATACTAGGGCACGCCCAAGTACGCTCAGTGTACACCACGTACGCATGACGTACTACGAAGGCCTCAAATTACCATAATGCCATTAAGACCCTTTTGCATACATTTATTGAACTTTGGGACCAAATGCAATATAAATGAATTAAAGGGTTTAATTTAGAAGTACCTCACATCGGGATGTTACATATATGTACTTCATCATTCTCTCATAAAAGATTGCTTGAAATGTATTAGAAGAAGAAGGCTGACAGCTTCTCTATCAGCATATTACCATTTTCTTGAAACCAAAAAAATACAGAATATGAGCCGCATACATAAAAATAGCCATGCGAATTTGTTTTTTTTGTCAAGGGTAAAGTTTTTTACTTTCAATGAGGAAAGAAACATCAGAAAGTGTGTAGTACTTGACAGAACGCTCAATCAAATAAACCTAGAAAACAGTTATTACATCATTAATTCGGTGGTTTAATGCGTATATGATCTTTATCTATTCTAGTTTCATCCTCTTCGATATCAATAAATCATATGATCTAAAACCGAAGCAGCAAAAAACAAACAAAATCAGTAAGAAATGAGAGCTTTAAAACACCTTTTAGGAATTAAACCAGTTAAAATTTTACCATAATGCCATTAAGACCCTTTTTGCATACATTTATTGAACTTTGGGACCAAATGCAATATAAATGAATTAAAGGGTTTAATTTAGAAGTACCTCACATCGGGATGTTACATATATGTACTTCATCATTCTCTCATAAAAGATTGCTTGAAATGTATTACAAGAAGAAGGCTGACAGCTTCTCTATCAGCATATTACCATTTTCTTGAAACCAAAAAAATACAGAATATGAGCCGCATACATAAAAATAGCCATGCGAATTTGTTTTTTTTGTCAAGGGTAAAGTTTTTTACTTTCAATGAGGAAAGAAACATCAGAAAGTGTGTAGTACTTGACAGAACGCTCAATCAAATAAACCTAGAAAAACAGTTATTACATCATTAATTCGGTGGTTTAATGCGTATATGATCTTTATCTATTCTAGTTTCATCCTCTTCGATATCAATAAATCATATGATCTAAAACCGAAGCAGCAAAAAACAAACAAAATCAGTAAGAAATGAGAGCTTTAAAACACCTTTTAGGAATTAAACCAGTTAAAATTTTACCATAATGCCATTAAGACCCTTTTTGCATACATTTATTGAACTTTGGGACCAAATGCAATATAAATGAATTAAAGGGTTTAATTTAGAAGTACCTCACATCGGGATGTTACATATATGTACTTCATCATTCTCTCATAAAAGATTGCTTGAAATGTATTACAAGAAGAAGGCAGACAGATTCTCTATCAGCATATTACCATTTTCTTGAAACCAAAAAAATACAGAATATGAGCCGCATACATAAAAATAGCCATGCAAATTTGTTTTTTTTTTTTTGTCAAGGGTAAAGTTTTTTACTCTCAATGAGGAAAGAAACATCAGAAAGTGTGTAGTACTTGACAGAACACTCAATCAAATAAACCTAGAAAACAGTTATTACATCATTAATTCGGTGGTTTAATGCGTATATGATCTTTATCTATTCCAGTTTCATCCTCTTCGATATCAACAAATCATATGATCTAAAATCGAAGCAGCAAAAAAAAACAAAATCAGTAAGAAAATGATAGCTTTAAAACACCTTTTAGGAATTAAACCTGTTCAAATTTTAAAAACTTTCAAAAATCAAGATCATAATAGGAAGAATGAAAACCCACCACCCCCATCGATCAGCAGTAGCAGGACCGCCGGCGTTGCTTCTTTCTGCTTTGAACAGTACCGACATCACCCAAAAGCGGTGTTGTCCTTCTCTTCCTTGCAGGTATCTCCATCTATCAATGCGTCCCTAAATTAATGAAATAAAAGCTTCGATAACAACAACGTGATAGAGGT